AGATAGAAGATGATCTGCTTTAGTTCATTTTCACAGAAAAGCAAACTTAGGGCGTCGTACTCGTAGCGCCATCTGTTGGACATAAAAGCCTTAACCTAGATTATATATTTTAATTTATATGAATGTTTAACGGAATAATATACAGCCTATGTCCACCCTGAGGTTCCATTCTAAATATTGGTGAAAGAATTTTTGAAATCGGATTAGTAGTTTCGGAGATTACCTGCTGCAAACAAACTTACATACTTACAAACATTACCTCTTTATAATATTAGTATAGATTGATATTTCAAAATACTGTATAAAAAACTTTTTAATAAATATTAGTGACATTTGTTTTTGACTAATTAATTAATATTCATAATCACTTAACTATCAAATATAAACTAACAACACAATCATAAAACTTTTTGAATACTTCATGAACTTTGATCAGAAATAAATTTCACACATTAGAAATATACTCCAGCAGCAATTACACTTTTTGTTATTTATTGTTTTTTTATACTTTTATTAATTTCATATTCTTAATTAGTTATTATTCACATCTTTTTATTTATTATTAATTTGGCTGCAATTTGAAAAAAATTGTAGACCTATAAATTCCCACTGTCATCCGTCTGTCTGTCTTTCCTCAATCTTCAGAGCTGAATTAGATAGATGAAAGACGAGACCAGATATGAAAATCTTAGGAGCAGAAGGCCCCAATTAACTATATAACTGATGCAAACCAGAAGTCACGTTATTTCAATTAAAAAATTTTCCCCGAAAGGTTTTAGATAGATGACCAGCACAACTCTATTCTTAAAGGAAAATTATGAAGTATGGGGGGAAAGCCACTACTAATTTGAAGTTGAGAGCATGTATTTTAAATTTAAATTAAATTAATTAATTAAAAAATTGCAGTCTGGCATTATGACAATGTCACAATAAATAACTGCTCATTGCATTTACTTATAAATTTAAATTTCCATTGTAATTTCCATTTACATTTGTTCTATTTTTATACTTATTCTATTTTGTATTTTCAAAGTTTTTTTCATTCAAATATAATGCTATGTTTAAATATTCAGCTGATGAAGACTTATAAGCTAAGATCAAAAACATTTTTTGCATTAAAATTGTTGCTGGAATATATTTTAAGAGGTAAAATTTATTTCTAATATTCCTTCCAGTTGCTAGAACAATTACATTGCATAAATTTTGACTTTTAAAACTAATTACTCATTTAATATTCTCTAATAATAATCTTTCATAATCATTTTAGAATTACTGCTATTATTTTATTGCAAAATGATTCGACTATCAACTACAATTTTATATTACACCAGTATTCTAGAAGCCTTCTAGAATACTAATATAAGTGCCAGTGACAGTTGTCCCTCAAGAACAAATTTGTGAATAATTCCTTTACTATCATAAAAATACTCTAGTTGAACATCCAGCCTTGTCATCAGCATTGAGGGTTTCTCGAGCACATCTGAAACAATCAAATCACCTGAATATTCGTGCATGAAATAAATATCTACCAAGATAAACTTGTTGCATCAATGTTATTATCTTATTTTGTAAGTTTAAAACAGAATTTGACATTCAGTCTCTGCTCCAAGCCACTTTTGTGACAACATTCTCACACCATCCTAACAAATTAGTGGCAAATTTCCTACCAAGCTTAAATGTGGAACCTATTACGTTGCCAGATTGCAGATTACAAAACACACTACAAAATGCATGAGTTTCTCACTATATGACATTTGTGTACTGGTCAGTATAGCAAATATCATATTACTAAATTGTCAGACCTTGTATATAAATACTAAGACAAATTACAGAATTGTGCAAAATTTCCTATCAAAAAACAAAATTTCATATATATAAATATAAACACAATACTAATTCTCAATCAATGACTGCAAGGCAAATCGTATAATAAATTCATATGCTTATTATCATGTAAATAATTATAATTTATAATATAAAAATAATAATTTGGAAATTTAAAATTTATTTACTCTAGTTAAACTTAAATAATATTCATTTAAACATAATCATAAATATAAACTTTAGTTACAAAATAGCAACAAATTGAACCTTAAAAGAAATTCCAGAATAATCTATTGCAAATTCTAATGTTTTTGATCTTCAAAGATCTTCGTCAGGATTCTTTAAACTGGAATGCTAAAATGGAACTTTTAAGAATTATTTAAAAAACGTATAAATGAGAATTTTTTAAACTAATTCTCTTAAAAAATACTTTAAAATAATTTAAATCTCTCCAAAATAATTTTTTAAATTTGACTGTTTCCTTTGGTATAAAGATTGCCAGGCATAAGATACTTGTCCTTCCTCTTTGAAATTAATACAATGGCCACTCTTTACAGATTTGAATATTTTGAGAGCTTCTAGTGTCCAGTTTTTTGGTCTCAATATGAGTATTATAAGGAGTTATCCATGCCAATATTTATCATAAACCATCACACCTTCCTTTATACCAGTGAATTCATACAACCCATATATCTACAAAATAGCTGCCTTTCGCACCTTAACCAAACGTGCTTTTACCCACTGCACAAATTACGACGACACGTTAAAAGAACTTAAACATCTGGAGGACATAGTTGAAAAACATGGTTACAAAAAGAACCTTATTCATAAATTAGCAAATGCCTATTCCAACAGGGATACTCCTACACCCAATAATGTGTTGCGAAGTGGGAACACTCACAACATGCACCACAGTTCTAGATTATAACCGCAACATGAAAAGCTTATATAAAGAAATTGCCTGTCACAGAGGTGATAAATTAGCTTATAGGCATGTTCCCACTATCTATAACATCCTCAGAAATGGAAAGGACAACACCGACATGCTTAGGGTTCCTGGCGTTTATAAGATTACGCTGACAGACAATAGATTCCAGCATGATCTTGAATACATCAGAGCGACCACACAATCTCTCAAAGTAAGGCTGGCTGAACACAAGTATAATATCAGTAAAGGAAAATACAACACTGCCCTAGCGAGGTATGCTGCAGACAACAACGTTCAAGCCCATCTAGACCAAGCTTTCATCATAAGACAATCTAATCATGATGACCAAATAAGGACGCTGGAAACTCTCAAAATATTCAAATCTGTAAAGAGCAGCCATCGCATTAATTTCAAAGAGGAAAGACAGGTATCTTATGCCTGGCAATCGTTTTACCAAAGGTAACAATCAAATACAAAAAATTATTTTGGAGAGATTTAAATTTGATTTAATCGATTTAAATTATTTTAAAATATTTTTTAAGAGAATTAGTTTAAAAAATTCTCATTTATACGTTTTTTAAATAATTCTTAAAAGTTCCATTTTAGCATTCCAGTTTAAAGAATCCTGACGAAGATCTTTGAAGATCAAAAACATTAGAATTTGCAATAGATTATTCTGGAATTTCTTTTAAGGTTCAATTTGTTGCTATTTTGTAACTAAAGTTTATATAAGAGAATTAGTTTAAAAAATTCTCATTTATACGTTTTTTAAATAATTCTTAAAAGTTCCATTTCCACATTCCAGTTTAAAGAATCCTGAGGAAGATCTTTGAAGATCGAAAACATTAGAATTTGCAATAGATTATCGTGGAATTTCTTTTAAGGTTCAATTCATTGCTATTTTGTAAGACATATTCCAGGTTTGCAGAGTTTGAGCTATAAACTTTAGTTAATTTATCTTATTACAATTTATTATTTTAGAGGCTTTGAATTTTATAACACCAACCTTTATTTTAAATTTTGATAAAAGTTTTTGACGCATGGTTCCTTTAGGCGGTGCTGACTGAAGCAATTTTTCTACATATTCGTTGTATTTTGTAAGACCTTCGAATGGCATGGAACCATGAGGCACAGTCCAACTTCGTTCGGCATCCGGTCCAAAATACTGTACGTGATATATCCTGTGCAATTTTTTCCCCGATCCTAGAAATATATCTCAAAATTAATTGCAATAATATTAAATTAAAACGTAAAAAAACCTATTTTATAAACAAAGCTTGCCAAATGAACATGCATTTTTTAAAACCAAACACTGATTTACAAGAATTATAATAGATTTATATTATTGATAGAACTGAAAAGTTATGTATGCTACTAATTGCTTATTATTTAAATAATTTATATCCATGAAAACAGATCATTCTTTAAAATAATTTACAATTTAATAAACTTCAAATAAAAAGTAAATAAAATTTAATTAAATTTAAAATACTTTAAATAAATAATACAAACTTCTAATTTAACTACATTTCACTTGTTGTATCCCCAAATACTTCTCAAAATTTTTAATTTACATTAACTGTATATAACTGTTGAACTAATCAGTCAGAATTTAATACTGTAAATTTGTTTTAAAAATACCCATGCTGAATTTCTTAGATCTTAACCACTCTGCAGTAATCGACAGATATACCCGTCAAGGGTGATCACATGGCACTGGAGAATGGCAGCTATATCTGCAAAATTTTTTGCGGATATCGACAAAAACTAGCCAAAAATTACCACAAAAAAAATTCACATAAAAAAGGAATTATGTGACAATAAAAAAAGATTTTTCTTTACTAGACATAACTGTTTAAAAAATTTTTTTCCAAAACAGAAATGAGAAAAATGTGCGGAAAAATTCTTTAAAAATTTTCCAAGTTTATTCTCCACTACATCGAAATAGTGCCATATCTGACTAACCCTCTCTACAAAGGTTATATATCCTTTCAACTACTTAACAAAAACATTCAAATGTAAATTAGAAATTTTCATAAACTATCTTTAGATGTGAAAGTTAACCAAAAAAACTGGATGAGATTACTATAAAAATGCTCAAAAAACTAATAATCCATTTGAACCAATAATTAACAAGTTTCATTATACAGTGGTATTTCGGTATACGTCTGCTTTAGAATATGTCCAATTCAGAATACGTCCTGTTTGGATGAAACAAATTTTGCTTGGTATAAGACTTAATTCAATTATATGCACCATCTATGAACAAGTAACACTATTGGTACAGTGACCATATTTTTTAGGGGAAAATAAAGGACATATCAAAGAAAATCAAAAAATACCTTATAAAATTCATAAGTTTATAACATTTATTACGAAAATAGTAGCATACAACAATGCATACATTAAAATTTTAAACAATCTGAATTATTACACATACACACATTGTAAAAATTTAAATAATATTAATTTTGATACTTTTCAGTAGAATTATTTTTTTATTATAGTGCCGTTTCACGCTTTAAAGTCATAAAATTCCATACAGTTCATTTGAAAGTTGTATTTGATGGAAATACATGCTTCTAATGTGCTTACTTTTAAATCAGTTTTTTCATTCGTCCACATATTATTCACCAATGAAAATATTCGTTCAACGGGGGCATTAGATCCAGGGAGACAAAGAAAATTCTACGATTTTACAAATGTTTTTGAAAACAATTTCTTTTGCTGTAAAATGTTCAAAAATCTCAATCCACCTTTGATGGCAGGGCTGGTTATTCTGTCACCATTCGTCGATCTTTTCGTTTGTGACATATTTTTTTACACATGAAACTTCATCAAATAATTCACCGTCGAGTATATTTACGGACCAATGATTCGAAATAAAGATATAGCTTTCCTCTACTTTCGCCCACAAAGGGATTTCGCATAATGTGACCCATTCAAACACATCTATTTCAATAAAAAACATGTCCCAATTATTTAGATAATCTATGCACGTTTGATAAAATGTGTACACAGCATCATTGAATTTTTTGGCTTGTATATTTTCTGATTTTTCTAATGCTAAAACCACTTTTCTAATAACAATAGGAAGAAACCCCTCATTTTTTCTTTCAACTAACTTCAGCTTTAATTAACAAGTGTATCATCCATCAACTAGAGAGTTAAAAAACTATCACAAAAATCCCCATAAGAGTGTCCATCCCCTGTTACTGTCAGTGGGCCGTTTGGTTGGCGACACACTGCACTACTGCGCTCTATGTAGCAATGCAACACTGATCGTGATGGCATACACAAAACTAACTTGTTCAATATATTATTAAAATTTTTTTTTTAAACTTTGCGTCAACTTTACAAAATAAAGGACAAAATGCCTATTTTAGGAAATAAATAAAGTTAAAGGACAGAGCAGTGAAATAAAGGACTGTCCTCTTAAATAAAGGACGTATGGTCACTGTAACTATTGGTGTACTAGACCAGACTAGACGTTCACTGTGCCACGGTTTATAACTTTGTTAAATTTCTTCTGATTTTAATTTGTAAGTAAAATTTTATTATTTTTATTAATCATGAATTGCAAACAAGGCAAATGAAAAGCAACAGAAAATTAAAAAAAATTTACTAGAATCACAATAGAACTGAAAAAAAGAAATCGTTGAAAAATATGAAGGTGGCATGCGTGTTCGAGATTTAACTGTTGCATACCGTATTCTGAGAACGACGATATCGACAGTCGTGAAAAATAAAGACATTATTAAATCTGCTAACATTGCGAAAAGGGTTGAATCAATTTCTAAACAGATATCAAAGACATTAGATCATGTTGAGAAATTGCTTATGCTTTGAATAACTGAAAAACAGTATGCTGGCAACAGCATATTGGAAGCAATTATTTATGAGAAAGCTAAAAATATACATGCTGATCTCATGAAAAATCAAGCAGGAACTAGCCAGGAAAGAGAAGTGTTTAAAGCCAGCATTTTTTTTACATGAAAATGGATTAATCATTTTTACATTACTTCATATAGGAAAGGTTGGTTTGGTATACATCCTATTCAGTATAAGTCCAAACATCAGGAATGGATTAACCTGTCCTACGTTGATCCCGAAAATATTCGTGTTGACCTCATTGACCTGCATGGGCGATCCCGAATATCTCCATGTTTACATCGGAACATTTCTGATACTAGATGTCACTTTGCGTCACAATTTTTATATTAAAACAAACTTTTAAAATAAAATTTTTTTCATTTTTATATTATTCAATATATATATTTTGTTTGTGAAACATAAAAAAATAATTTTTTACGATACAGTAAACATGATTATTATTTAAAAAAAAAAAATT